CCATTAACCTGCTCTGGCTTACACTGTCGGTTGCATGATACAGGTTCTTCAGATGGCCGTACGCGAGTTCCGCCGAGTTGCCGAAGTTCCGGTAAGAGCGAATGTTCTGCTGCTGAGTTGGTGTGATGTTTCTCAGTAGAATAGTATACGCCATCATCGATTGATACGTATACTGCTGCTTCTCATACTGTGTGCCGTTTGCTGGATACTGCAGGGATCCGTCGAAGAAGCCGAGTATCTGCGCGCCCTCCATCATCAGCTCGAATTCAAAGGACCAGGTGAAGAAGTCCTTTCCGTCGAAGGGTCTTGATGTTTGCAATTTCAGGACATGCGCGAATTGTGACTGAACTTGTAAAGCGTCCATTGGTTTGTCTTGCGCAGGTGAAGGTTGAGGTAGGAAGCTGATCGACCCGCGCTCGTACGGGGCAAAGGTGGGTTGCTGCTGTTGATTCCCTCGCGCATATGACGATCCGTCAAGGCTCATGGGTGTCGCTCCGTTGTTGCTGTTGTGTGTCTGTGCAAGTCCCGACTGCTGGTGTTGCTCGTAGAAGGACATGAAGGAGAAAAATTTCTCCATCATGCTCTGGTCGAAGTCAGAAGGATGGTTCGTGGGGGTCTCGGTTGACGTTCCCCTTGGTCTTGCTGCCGTGCCTTCCTCTGTCTGCAGGCCAGAGGCTGGCGGTGGAGTAGGAGTAGTGCCCGAGGAGCCATTAGGGGAGCTCCTTTCCTTGTTTGTTGCCATGTCTTGTAATGATAAAAAAGTTAGAGTTTTCCCCTGTCAGCTCTCATACCATGTTGGGCTGAGAATGCCCTTAAGGATCTTTGCAGAGGATAACTCTGGGTAGGATATTTGTAATAGCGGAAGCGTTTAATGAAGTTTGTGAACCGACCTTGCACTAGTGTGTGAGAGCAAAGTGGATTGAATTAAACAAGCAAATACAAGGTTTTATATAAGAGTACAGGGAATACGAATGGATAGATAACTGTATTTGCTGTTGCGATTCGATACAGTGCGACTCGGGCAACTGCTCTGTAACGAGTCAGTTGTGTGTCCTTAACTGTCGCGCTGTAATTGTCGAGTCAAAGGTCGCTGACCTTTGACTTTCCCGTAACCTCCAGGCGGTTACCCTAACCTCCGAGGTTTGACTCGATGCTTCGATTCGGACTGCTTCGCTAGTGTCTTGGGTTTTGACACGACAGAAGCGCACTAAGACTTACTATGGCTTCGTACACCCATCATTCCGTTTGAGGAAACCATATGCAAACTCAACTACACTGTTATGGTTAGTCACATGGAGATGCAGAGTCACATGGTCATCCCACCATACGAGTTTCCCCACAAATCTACCGTACTATTCCGGCTGTAGGACCCGGGGAAATTTCTACAAGTGCAAAAAAAATGCTAGGGTGGACATTCGCATACAGCTTTTTAAGACCCGGGTGTGCTTATTTGTCTTATATTCGGTAACGAAAAACACCCCTGGTGTGGAAATCTCACGTGAGCGGCGCGTCAGATTCGTGTCAACATTCGCGTCTGACACACAAAAACATGTCAGAATCGAGATCTGACACATACAGCATGTGAGAATTCGAAAAAAATCCTTATAAAAGCTGACGCGCAATTACATTTACGACTACAGTTTATAAAAGGGGGGTATTATAATGTTTAGGGGCAAAAGGGGGGTCCTCCCATTTTGATACCAAATAAAGAGTCCCAGTACCCTATAGAGAGCCCCGGGGGACCCTTTTACCGGCGGGTCTTATAGCCGGAATAATACGGTACTAGTGTTTTAGTTAGATATTGGAATCTATTGCTGATGGTGTACCTTTTTGTATTGCTTAGCCTCTTGCCTTTCCTATACCTTGTGGGAGAAGGGAGGTAGAAGGAGAGGGAGAATGGGGGGGGGGGGGGGAGTGGAGGGGGGAAGGTAGTGAGGCGGGGGAGGGAGGAAGATGAGGAATATGGTTAAGTGGGTGAGGTGGGCTCGCCAACGCTGCGGCTCAACACCACCCCCTCAATCCCACCACCTGTCAACCCCCTTTGGTGCAGCAATGGAGAGCAGCAGCGTGACCTCCTTGACACTCCTGGCGAGGCACACGGACACTGGCTCTCCATTTTGGTCTGGTCGGAGCTGATTCAGGTGCATGTGATGAGAGCGGATGGGCAGGGAAAGGGGCGGGAACGGGGAGGGGAGGGGGAGGGTATGGGGATGGGAAAGGGGGGAAGAGGGGAGCGGAAATGGGGGAGAAAGGGAAGGGAAGGGAGGGGAAGTGGAGGGGAAGTGGAGAAAAAAGCGAGGTGAGGGCGAGGGAGGGGAAGGGGAGGGAAAGGAGAGGGGAATGGGGAGTGGAACGGGAGGGGAAGGGGAGTGGAATGGTTGGGGAAGGGGAGGCCAAGGAATTAGGGAGTAGAGGGAAAGGAGAGTGAATGGGGAGGGAACGGGAACGGAGGAATGAGAAAAACGGGGTTGTTGGCTGGTGTATAAAATGAAAGGAAGGTACATCCCACTCAGCCATGCACTGGTGCCATCTGCCCAACCCTAATTGCCATGCAAAACCTTGCAGCGCAATTCAAGAACACGAATTACACACCATGCACGCACCATGCACGCACCATGCACGCACCATGCATCCACACACCATGCACACACCATGCACGCACATTCCATGCACATACCCATGCGCAGATAGCACATAACCATCCACCCACCCACCCTCTTCACCATGCTCATCCGCGCACATAGTACCCACCCATCCACCCATCCACCCACCCCGTTCACCATGCATGGGAATGCGGGATGCGTCTCTTGCTGCTGCTGCTGCTGCCGCTGCCTCCTTGGCTCGCCTCATCTGCTCTTCCTGCCTCGGCGTCTCTGAAAGCTGTGCCAAGTGCATATGACCATGCTGTTGGTGCCCACACACATGAGCTGTTAAGTGAAGGGGCAGTTCCGGGTGGGGAAGGGGACGGGAAAACACATGAGAGAGGTTGCTTGCGGCTACTCTTCCTGCCTCAGTGGCTCTGGGAGGTCGTCCACCAACACACTATCAGTGCCAGAGGAGGGCAGGAGCTGCTTGAGAACTGTCCAGGGGGCTACATGCAGGTGGAAGGGAGTGCAGAGAAGAAGGATGCCGGACCGGCCCAGGCCCAGCCCAGGTCGGGCCGTGCCCGGCTGCCCAAAATAGCGGGCCAGGCCCAGCCCGGCCCGGCCCGGGCCGAGCCTGGCCTGCCCCGAGCGGAATGAGCTAGACTTCGGCCCGGGTTCGCCCAGGGGGTACCCAGGCCGAAAAGGGCCCGGGCGGGCTGAGTATGGCGGCCCGGCCCGGGTGCAATTCCGTTATAGATACATTGTTCTTTGGGCCTGTTTTGAAGAGGCAAACAAGTCTAGGGCCTGACCCGGGCTGGGCTGGCCCGCCCCTAAAAGGGCGGGCCAAAAGCGGGTCGACGACGGCTCGGCGGGCCAGGACTGCGGAAGGCAAAGGCAGAGGAGGTGGCGGGAAGAAGGGGGAGAGGAGCAGCAATGGAGGTGGCGTGGGAGCGAGGAGCGATGGTGCCAGGGAGACCTGCAGAGGGGTCTTTCAGCTCAACTGCCGCTCACACTGCTGCTGTTGCTTGCTACTTCTGTTCCCTACCAGCCCCATGTCCATGCAGCAGCCTCTGCAGAAGCAGCAGCAGGAGGATTAGGAGCACACGCCTCCTTGATTCGTACCTGCCCTGCCTGCCCCACCTGCTGCCCCACCTGCTGCAGCATGCACCTTCGTCGGGCTCTCATCAGCTCCGGTCGCACCGATTGCGCCTCTCCCTGCTGCACTCCAGCTCTGCAACCAGCCGAAGTCGCTGCAGAGAGGTATTCTTATGTGGGATGGGCGTGGTGATAGTCGGGAGGGCGATTGTGGGGACCGGGTGTCGCTGCTGCTGATGCTGCTCCCTTGAGGTGCCCTTGCGACCCTTCCAAGCTCTCCCATCCCTCGTTCATCCTTTGTGGTTCCTCCCCCCCACACACCTGCCATGGCGCAGCAGAACAGGGCACATTGATGAACACCTGCACGTCGGCACGGAGGGGAAGTGTAACAGGACAAAGGTTGGAGAGGCAAGCCGTCACATACTCAATTCATCACAAAAATGCGTGTGTCTGGAAATCATCTGACATTCGCGGCAGCCTATCGTACGTTTGACAATCGTTTGAAAAACGTACAGGGAAACTCTAAAAAACGTTTGCCTTCGGCGGAATGTTTTCCAGTCACATTCTGAATGTTTGCTCCTAACTATTTCTTGCTTGTGCGCAGGATTAGGGTTCCGGGCCTAACAGATAGTCGAGCATGTCTCTTCGCGAGGGAGCAGATAGCGAGAAATTTGATTCTCTCCAAGAATTCCTCGTTTAGGCTTTTGTGTACCATTTGTTACATTCATGACATTTGCACTTATGTTTCTTTGAATATGATGATGTAATTTTCTCTATGTAAATAGTGCTTCCAAGAGTCATGTTTAACTATTTGAAGGAAATTTTACACCTATTATATTCTTACAAGGCCTAAAAAGAACATAGTCAGGGAACAATTTCATGTTTACAAAAGTCACAATGCGTCAAAGTTCTCTACGTGTGCTAGACCTCACCAAACGAATCTATTAAGAAGGCTCACTTCATCGTCCTCACATGAGGGAACAATGTGTACGAGACTGAGAATGCAGTCGACATCAATCACTGCAAAATCCTCCTCGCCCTCAGTGGGTAGAAGGCGCTTGCATCCCGTTGACGGGCATAGTCGCTTGTCCTCGGTGTAATACTCCACGTATGCTCCGCGCCTCAGCTCCCCATCTTTGTTGTAGTGAAACAGGACAAGACAACGGCCGTACCAGGGGGACCCCTTCCCTGCAGGGTTGATTGCAACAGATGAGAAGTTCTTCTCGCCCGGGCTAGCCTTCACAAACTGCCCCCTTGACGTCCATTCCATCTTGTCGTGAGGCGGAATCGCAAGTGCCGTGTGCACCTGAAACCACGAGCATGAACCAAGACAATGTGAAAGCAGCGAAAGAGGCGGTGGAGAGCATAGCGAAAGGGGGAAATTGGCAAAGGGCTGGAGTGGGTGGAAAAGCAGGTTGGAGAGGAGGAAGGGGGGCTGGAGTGGGTGGAAAGCATTTTGGAGAGGGGGAAGGGGGGCTGGAGTGGGTGGAAAGCATGCAGGAGAGGGGGAAAGGGGGCTGGAGTGGGTGGAAAGCATTTTGGAGAGGGGGAAGGGGGGCTGGAGTGGGTGGAAAGCATTTTGGAGAGGGGGAAGGGGGGCTGGAGTGGGTGGAAAGCATGCAGGAGAGGGGGAAGGGGGGCTGGAGTGGGTGGAAAAGCATGCAGGAGAGGGGGAAGGGGGGCTGGAGTGGGTGGAAAGCATGCAGGAGAGGGGGAAGGGGGGCTGGAGTGGGTGGAAAGCATGCAGGAGAGGGGGAAGGGGGGCTGGAGTGGGTGGAAAGCATGCAGGAGAGGGGGAAGGGGGGCTGGAGTGGGTGGAAAGCATGCAGGAGAGGGGGAAGGGGGGCTGGAGTGGGTGGAAAGCATGCAGGAGAGGGGGAAGGGGGGCTGGAGTGGGTGGAAAGCATGCAGGAGAGAGGGAAGGAGGGCTGGAGTGAGTGGAAAGCATGCAGGAGAGGGGGAAGGGGGGCTGGAGTGGGTGGAAAGCATGCAGGAGAGGGGGAAGGGGGGCTGGAGTGAGTGGAAAGCATGCAGGAGAGGGGGAAGGGGGGCTGGAGTGGGTGGAAAGCATGCAGGAGAGGGGGAAGTGCGGCTGGAGTGAGTGGAAAGCATGCAGGAGAGGGGGAAGGGGGGCTGGAGTGGGTGGAAAGCATGCAGGAGAGGGGGAAGGGGGGCTGGAGTGGGTGGAAAGCATGCAGGAGAGGGGGAAGTGGGGCTGGAGTGGGTGGAGAGCATGCAGGAGAGGGGGAATGGGGGCTGGAGTGGGTGGAAAGCATGCAGGAGAGGGGGAATGGGGGCTAAGGTGGGTGGAAAGCATGCAGGAGAGGGGGAAGGGGGGCTGGAGTGGGTGGAAAGCATGCAGGAGAGGGGGAAGTGGGGCTGGAGTGGGTGGAAAGCATGCAGGAGAGGGGGAGGGGGGGCTGGAGTGGGTGGAAAGCATGCAGGAGAGGGGGAAGTGGGGCTGGAGTGGTTGGAAAGCATGCAGGAGAGGGGGAAGGGGGGCTGGAGTGGGTGGAAAGCATTTTGGAGAGGGGGAAGGGGGGCTGGAGTGGGTGGAAAGCATGCAGGAGAGGGGGAATGGGGGCTAAGGTGGGTGGAAAGCATGCAGGAGAGGGGGAATGGGGGCTAAGGTGGGTGGAAAGCATGCAGGAGAGGGGGAAGGGGGGCTGGAGTGGGTGGAAAGCATGCAGGAGAGGGGGAAGTGGGGCTGGAGTGGGTGGAAAGCATGCAGGAGAGGGGGAAGGGGGGCTGGAGTGGGTGGAAAGCATGCAGGAGAGGGGGAAGTGGGGCTGGAGTGGGTGGAAAGCATGCAGGAGAGGGGGAAGTGGGGCTGGAGTGGGTGGAAAGCATGCAGGAGAGGGGGAAGTGGGGCTGGAGTGGGTGGAAAGCATGCAGGAGAGGGGGAAGGGGGGCTAAAGTGGGTGGAAAGCATGCAGGAGAGGGGGAAGTGGGGCTGGAGTCGTTGGAAAGCATGCAGGAGAGGGGGAATGGGGGCTGGAGTGGGTGGAAAGCATGCAGGAGAGGGGGAAGGGGGGCTAAAGTGGGTGGAAAGCATGCAGGAGAGGGGTAAGGGGGGCTGGAGTGGGTGGAAAGCATGCAGGAGAGGGGGAAGTGCGGCTGGAGTGAGTGGAAAGCATGCAGGAGAGGGGGAAGGGGGGCTGGAGTGGGTGGAAAGCATGCAGGAGAGGGGGAAGGGGGGCTGGAGTGGGTGGAAAGCATGCAGGAGAGGGGGAAGGGGGGCTGGAGTGGGTGGAAAGCATGCAGGAGAGGGGGAATGGGGGCTGGAGTGGGTGGAAAGCATGCAGGAGAGGGGGAAGTGGGGCTGGAGTGGGTGGAAAGCATGCAGGAGAGGGGGAAGTGGGGCTGGAGTGGGTGGAAAGCATGCAGGAGAGGGGGAAGGGGGGCTAAAGTGGGTGGAAAGCATGCAGGAGAGGGGGAAGTGGGGCTGGAGTGGTTGGAAAGCATGCAGGAGAGGGGGAATGGGGGCTGGAGTGGGTGGAAAGCATGCAGGAGAGGGGGAAGGGGGGCTAAAGTGGGTGGAAAGCATGCAGGAGAGGGGGAAGGGGGGCTGGAGTGGGTGGAAAGCATGCAGGAGAGGGGGAAGTGCGGCTGGAGTGAGTGGAAAGCATGCAGGAGAGGGGGAAGGGGGGCTGGAGTGGGTGGAAAGCATGCAGGAGAGGGGGAAGGGGGGCTGGAGTGGGTGGAAAGCATGCAGGAGAGGGGGAAGTAGGGCTGGAGTGGGTGGAAAGCATGCAGGAGAGGGGGAATGGGGGCTGGAGTGGGTGGAAAGCATGCAGGAGAGGGGGAATGGGGGCTAAGTTGGGTGGAAAGCATGCAGGAGAGGGGGAAGGGGGGCTGGAGTGGGTGGAAAGCATGCAGGAGAGGGGGAAGTGGGGCTGGAGTGGGTGGAAAGCATGCAGGAGAGGGGGAAGGGGGGCTGGAGTGGGTGGAAAGCATGCAGGAGAGGGGGAAGTGGGGCTGGAGTGGGTGGAAAGCATGCAGGAGAGGGGGAAGTGGGGCTGGAGTGGGTGGAAAGCATGCAGGAGAGGGGGAAGTGGGGCTGGAGTGGGTGGAAAGCATGCAGGAGAGGGGGAAGGGGGGCTGGAGTGGGTGGTAAGCATGCAGGAGAGGGGGAAGTGGGGCTGGATGTCAGAACTTGAGCTTAGAATCGATACTATAGTAGTGAGCTCAAAGCTCTTTAAGTACATCCGGAATGAGCAAGGTAGGGATGAGGAGGGAATCAGGAGGCAATCCTAGGGAATCAAGGGTAATCCCAAGGCAATCTCCAATTGGTGGGTTGGAGATTGCTTGGAGATTACATTTGGGTTTGGTTGGGATGTGGGTGTACACCCAACCAAACACAAAGTGCAAACTACACTAAACTAGGATATAAAAGTACAAGTACAAAATGTGAGATTGGGGCCTAACACCAACACTGGAGTGGGTGGAAAGCATGCAGGAGAGGGGGAAGGGGGGCTGGAGTGGGTGGAAAGCATTTTGGAGAGGGGGAAGGGGGGCTGGAGTGGGTGGAAAGCATGCAGGAGAGGGGGAAAGGGGGCTGGAGTGGGTGGAAAGCATGCAGGAGAGGGGGAATGGGGGCTAAGGTGGGTGGAAAGCATGCAGGAGAGGGGGAAGGGGGGCTGGAGTGGGTGGAAAGCATGCAGGAGAGGGGGAAGTGGGGCTGGAGTGGGTGGAAAGCATTTTGGAGAGGGGGAAGGGGGGCTGGAGTGGGTGGAAAGCATGCAGGAGAGGGGGAAAGGGGGCTGGAGTGGGTGGAAAGCATGCAGGAGAGGGGGAATGGGGGCTAAGGTGGGTGGAAAGCATGCAGGAGAGGGGGAAGGGGGGCTGGAGTGGGTGGAAAGCATGCAGGAGAGGGGGAAGGGGGGCTGGAGTGGGTGGAAAGCATGCAGGAGAGGGGGAAGTGGGGCTGGAGTGGGTGGAAAGCATGCAGGAGAGGGGGAAGGGGGGCTGGAGTGGGTGGAAAGCATGCAGGAGAGGGGGAAGTGGGGCTGGAGTGGGTGGAAAGCATGCAGGAGAGGGGGAAGTGGGGCTGGAGTGGGTGGAAAGCATGCAGGAGAGGGGGAAGTGGGGCTGGAGTGGGTGGAAAGCATGCAGGAGAGGGGGAAGGGGGGCTAAAGTGGGTGGAAAGCATGCAGGAGAGGGGGAAGTGGGGCTGGAGTCGTTGGAAAGCATGCAGGAGAGGGGGAAGGGGGGCTGGAGTGGGTGGAAAGCATGCAGGAGAGGGGGAAGTGGGGCTGGAGTGGGTGGAAAGCATGCAGGAGAGGGGGAAGTGGGGCTGGAGTGGGTGGAAAGCATGCAGGAGAGGGGGAAGTGGGGCTGGAGTGGGTGGAAAGCATGCAGGAGAGGGAGAAGGGGGGCTAAAGTGGGTGGAAAGCATGCAGGAGAGGGGGAAGTGGGGCTGGAGTGGTTGGAAAGCATGCAGGAGAGGGGGAATGGGGGCTGGAGTGGGTGGAAAGCATGCAGGAGAGGGGGAAGGGGGGCTAAAGTGGGTGGAAAGCATGCAGGAGAGGGGGAAGGGGGGCTGGAGTGGGTGGAAAGCATGCAGGAGAGGGGGAAGTGCGGCTGGAGTGAGTGGAAAGCATGCAGGAGAGGGGTCAGGGGGGCTGGAGTGGGTGGAAAGCATGCAGGAGAGGGGGAAGTGGGGCTGGAGTGGGTGGAGAGCATGCAGGAGAGGGGGAAGGGGGGCTGGAGTGGGTGGAAAGCATGCAGGAGAGGGGGAAGGGGGGCTGGAGTGGGTGGAAAGCATGCAGGAGAGGGGGAAGGGGGGCTGGAGTGGGTGGAAAGCATGCAGGAGAGGGGGAAGTGGGGCTGGAGTGGGTGGAGAGCATGCAGGAGAGGGGGAAGGGGGGCTGGAGTGGGTGGAAAGCATGCAGGAGAGGGGGAAGGGGGGCTGGAGTGGGTGGAAAGCATGCAGGAGAGGGGGAAGGGGGGCTGGAGTGGGTGGAAAGCATGCAGGAGAGGGGGAAGTGGGGCTGGAGTGGGTGGAAAGCATGCAGGAGAGGGGGAAGGGGGGCTGGAGTGGGTGGAAAGCATTTTGGAGAGGGGGAAGGGGGACTGGAGTGGGTGGAAAGCATGCAGGAGAGGGGGAAAGGGGGCTGGAGTGGGTGGAAAGCATGCAGGAGAGGGGGAATGGGGGCTAAGGTGGGTGGAAAGCATGCAGGAGAGGGGGAAGGGGGGCTGGACTGGGTGGAAAGCATGCAGGAGAGGGGGAAGTGGGGCTGGAGTGAGTGGAAAGCATGCAGGAGAGGGGGAAGGGGGGCTGGAGTGGGTGGAAAGCATGCAGGAGAGGGGGAAGTGCGGCTGGAGTGAGTGGAAAGCATGCAGGAGAGGGGGAAGGGGGGCTGGAGTGGGTGGAAAGCATGCAGGAGAGGGGGAAGTCGGGCTGGAGTGGGTGGAGAGCATGCAGGAGAGGGGGAAGGGGGGCTGGAGTGGGTGGAAAGCATGCAGGAGAGGGGGAAGGGGGGCTGGAGTGGGTGGAAAGCATGCAGGAGAGGGGGAAGGGGGGCTGGAGTGGGTGGAAAGCATGCAGGAGAGGGGGAAGTGGGGCTGGAGTGGGTGGAGAGCATGCAGGAGAGGGGGAAGGGGGGCTGGAGTGGGTGGAAAGCATGCAGGAGAGGGGGAAGGGGGGCTGGAGTGGGTGGAAAGCATGCAGGAGAGGGGGAAGGGGGGCTGGAGTGGGTGGAAAGCATGCAGGAGAGGGGGAAGTGGGGCTGGAGTGGGTGGAAAGCATGCAGGAGAGGGGGAAGGGGGGCTGGAGTGGGTGGAAAGCATTTTGGAGAGGGGGAAGGGGGGCTGGAGTGGGTGGAAAGCATGCAGGAGAGGGGGAAGTGGGGCTGGAGTGGGTGGAAAGCATGCAGGAGAGGGGGAAGGGGGGCTGGAGTGGGTGGAAAGCATTTTGGAGAGGGGGAAGGGGGGCTGGAGTGGGTGGAAAGCATGCAGGAGAGGGGGAAAGGGGGCTGGAGTGGGTGGAAAGCATGCAGGAGAGGGGGAATGGGGGCTAAGGTGGGTGGAAAGCATGCAGGAGAGGGGGAAGGGGGGCTGGAGTGGGTGGAAAGCATGCAGGAGAGGGGGAAGTGGGGCTGGAGTGGGTGGAAAGCATGCAGGAGAGGGGGAAGGGGGGCTGGAGTGGGTGGAAAGCATGCAGGAGAGGGGGAAGTGGGGCTGGAGTGGGTGGAAAGCATGCAGGAGAGGGGGAAGGGGGGCTGGAGTGGGTGGAAAGCATGCAGGAGAGGGGGAAGGGGGGCTGGAGTGGGTGGAAAGCATGCAGGAGAGGGGGAAGTGGGGCTGGAGTGGGTGGAGAGCATGCAGGAGAGGGGGAAGGGGGGCTGGAGTGGGTGGAAAGCATGCAGGAGAGGGGGAAGGGGGGCTGGAGTGGGTGGAAAGCATGCAGGAGAGGGGGAAGGGGGGCTGGAGTGGGTGGAAAGCATGCAGGAGAGGGGGAAGTGGGGCTGGAGTGGGTGGAAAGCATGCAGGAGAGGGGGAAGGGGGGCTGGAGTGGGTGGAAAGCATTTTGGAGAGGGGGAAGGGGGGCTGGAGTGGGTGGAAAGCATGCAGGAGAGGGGGAAAGGGGGCTGGAGTGGGTGGAAAGCATTTTGGAGAGGGGGAAGGGGGGCTGGAGTGGGTGGAAAGCATTTTGGAGAGGGGGAAGGGGGGCTGGAGTGGGTGGAAAGCATGCAGGAGAGGGGGAAGGGGGGCTGGAGTGGGTGGAAAAGCATGCTGGAGAGGGGGAAGGGGGGCTGGAGTGGGTGGAAAGCATGCAGGAGAGGGGGAAGGGGGGCTGGAGTGGGTGGAAAGCATGCAGGAGAGGGGGAAGTGCGGCTGGAGTGAGTGGAAAGCATGCAGGAGAGGGGGAAGGGGGGCTGGAGTGGGTGGAAAGCATGCAGGAGAGGGGGAAGGGGGGCTGGAGTGAGTGGAAAGCATGCAGGAGAGGGGGAAGGGGGGCTGGAGTGGGTGGAAAGCATGCAGGAGAGGGGGAAGGGGGGCTGGAGTGGGTGGAAAGCATGCAGGAGAGGGGGAAGTGGGGCTGGAGTGGGTGGAAAGCATGCAGGAGAGGGGGAATGGGGGCTGGAGTGGGTGGAAAGCATGCAGGAGAGGGGGAAGTGGGGCTGGAGTGGGTGGAAAGCATGCAGGAGAGGGGGAAGGGGGGCTGGAGTGGGTGGAAAGCATGCAGGAGAGGGGGAAGTGGGGCTGGAGTGGGTGGAAAGCATTTTGGAGAGGGGGAAGGGGGGCTGGAGTGGGTGGAAAGCATTTTGGAGAGGGGGAAGGGGGGCTGGAGTGGGTGGAAAGCATGCAGGAGAGGGGGAAGGGGGGCTGGAGTGGGTGGAAAAGCATGCAGGAGAGGGGGAAGGGGGGCTGGAGTGGGTGGAAAGCATGCAGGAGAGGGGGAAGGGGGGCTGGAGTGGGTGGAAAGCATGCAGGAGAGGGGGAAGTGGGGCTGGAGTGGGTGGAAAGCATGCAGGAGAGAGGGAAGGAGGGCTGGAGTGAGTGGAAAGCATGCAGGAGAGGGGGAAGGGGGGCTGGAGTGGGTGGAAAGCATGCAGGAGAGGGGGAAGGGGGGCTGGAGTGAGTGGAAAGCATGCAGGAGAGGGGGAAGGGGGGCTGGAGTGAGTGGAAAGCATGCAGGAGAGGGGGAAGGGGGGCTGGAGTGGGTGGAAAGCATGCAGGAGAGGGGGAAGTGCGGCTGGAGTGAGTGGAAAGCATGCAGGAGAGGGGGAAGTGGGGCTGGAGTGGGTGGAAAGCATGCAGGAGAGGGGGAATGAGGGCTAAGGTGGGTGGAAAGCATGCAGGAGAGGGGGAAGGGGGGCTGGAGTGGGTGGAAAGCATGCAGGAGAGGGGGAAGTGGGGGCAGTGAGAAAAAATGGCATATCCATACGACCGGGAATGCACCTGCAAAACTTGCGTGTTGATGCCTGCCCGTCTGAGTCGCAGAACCATCGCACTCATGGCGGGTTCACCAACAGTCAAGACGTAGCTCCGAAACACTGAGTCGGTGATGTCCCCCAGGACCATCTTCTTGTGGGTCTTAGTAAGCACCCTCTGGCCAGCCAGGCATGCCTGTCACCGTGGAGAGGAGAGGGTTGGTATAGGGAGGGGGAGGGTTGTATGGTGAGTCCTTTTGGAGGGAGGAGGAGGGGGGGGGGATAGGGGATGGATGCGAGGTGTAGGCGAAGAAGGGAAAGGCCACGAAGGGGGAATGGGTGTGGGGGAAAGGGGGAAAGGTTGTGGGGACGAAGAAGGTTATGGGGGGGTAGGAATCGATGACTTTGGTTAGGTTGGTCCTACATGTCATTGCCAACTCATGCAGAGAGCATGGAAACAGAAGTGCGGGCAAAGAGACGAGCGAACAGAACGTGGCACAGAGCAGGGCAGACACAGAAGTGAACAAATCTGGGAAACAGTGAAGGGAACAGAGCGGGGCACATAGCAGGGCAGACACAGAAGTGAACAAATCAGGGAAACAGTGAAGGGAACAGAGCGGGGCACATAGCAGGGCAGACACAGAAGTGAACGAATCAGGGAAACGATGAAGGGAACAGAGCGGGGCACAGAGGTGGGCAGACACAGATGTGAACAAATCAGGGAAACGGTGAAGGGAACAGAGCAGGGCACAGAGCAGGGCAGACACAGAACGGAACATGGCAGGGTAACAGCGCAGGGAACAGAGCAGGGAAACAGAACAGGGCACCGAGTAGGGGAGACACAGCATGGAACATAGCAGGGTAACAGAGCGGATAACAAAGAAGGGGAAATGACGAGGGGAACGGAGCAGTGTGAGAGAGCAAGAGAGCCGAGCAGGGAAAAAGAGCATGGGGGGAGAGCATGAGACCCGGGCAGCGAAACAGAGCAGGAAAGAGCATGAGAACCGAGCAGGGAAACAGGGCAGGGGAGGGAGCATGAGAACCGAGCAGGGAAACAGGGCAGGGGAGAGAGCATGAGAACCGAGCTCGGGCAAACTGAACATGGCACAGAGCAGGGCAGACACATAAGGGAGCATAGCAGGGAAACTGAAGGGAATACAACAGGCCACAAAGCAGGGCAGACACAGAACGGAATATGCCAGAGGATAACACTGCAGGGAACAGAGCGGGGAAGACACAGTAGGGAACACAGCTGGGAAACAGAGCAGATAACAAAGAAGGGGAAATGACTAGAGGAACAGGGCAGGGAGAGAGAGAAGGAGAACCGAGCAGGGAAACAGAGCAGGGGGAGAGAGCAAGAGAACCGAGCAGGGAAACAGAGCAGCGGAACTGAGGAGGGGAACCGAGCAAGAGAACAGAGCATGGCATCACTTCAGGAGATCACAGCATGGGATCAAAACAGGGAAACTTAGCAGACGACGGGGTGCAGGGGAACAGAGCAGGTTCGTGAAACTCACCTCTTTCATCGAGGTCTCGTACGTGCTGTCCCCTCCGGCCTCCCGCGCGAGTTGCCTAACCACCGCATGCTCCAGGTGTTTCCGGACGATTCGATCTTCAACATTCTTCCAGTTCGTGCCACGTGAAGGACGCTTCACAGTGGTCTTGTGGGAGTGCTCGTAGCAGTTCGACGAGTACTCGGCAGGGATCCCCCTCATACGGATGGTTGATGGGAGGTGAACGAGAAGATGAATCTTAACAGCTTTCCACTTTGACTTCTGCTTAGGGAAAGCGACACGAAGAGCCTTCACCATCCTGGTGAAAATTTAGATACAACGCATGCAGTTAAGAGGGGGAATGCAGGCCGGGAAGGGAGAAACGGGATGCGGGAGGGGGAGTGAGGAAGCAGACATCGAAAACAGAAACACGGAAGGAGGGAGCACGGAGGTGGGTTATGGAGGGACAGCGATGCAGTGCAGAGGGAGAAGATGGGCCTGGGAAACCACATAACAGACGGACTTATTACTTGATGGTGGCGTCTTTCATCCGTTCCAGAGATTCGTTTGTGTGGTACTCAGCGCGGATGAACTCCTTGTACCACTCGACCATCTTGACAATGGCCGTGCGGATATCATCTCGTCCTGGGAGGTTGATGATGAGGGGCAGGACCTGCATCATCGCCCGATGCTCTGCAGCTGAAAAGCAGGCAGTGGATGTGAAGTAGGGCCACGCCGAAGGAAGACGTAGCACCGAAGCTGGTGTGGCCTCCTTCAAAATCTTGTATCGCCTAGGCGTGAGTAACATTTGGTCAGAGCACGGAAAGCAAGCACGGAGGGGAGTAGCATGAAGCAGGGCGCGGAAAGCAAGCACGGAGGGGAGTAGCATGAAGCAGGGCGCGGAAAGCAAGCACGGAGGGGAGTAGCAGATGAAGCAGGGCGCGGAACAACTCACTCCAGAAGAATCTTCCGTTCCCTCGGGGTCAGCTTCTTCACCAGGCACTTCATGGCATGCAGCCATATGCCCTGCTCCCAGATGTGCATGATGTCCGGGGGCACAGCAAGGTACGTGTTGCCCCAGAGGGTTTTTGCGAATTCCCAGTCCCACAAAAGGCTCTGCGTCGGGGGTCAAGGGCACAAACTCACTATGGCGGGTCAGGATAATAAATATGAACAGCAAGATGCAGATCGGAGTAGGTTTTCGGGCACACTAGCCACAGCAGTATATGGTGGATACGGAGGGAAACCATATGAGAACCACAAGGATGCACGCGGAGCAAGCTGGGCAAGGCGCACCTTCACAAAGTGTGTAGAGGACTTCTTCTTCACCGCCTTCAGCTCCTTTTTGGTCTTTGCGGCTTTCATCTCCTTGTGAAAATCCTTCTGACCCTTGACAGTTCTAAGGACAATGGTGTCTTCCTGCTTCTTTTTGGTTTCCGCAGATTCCTTCAGACCCTCGACATTTCTGGGGATAATGGTCTCATCCTGCTCATCCGGGCGCTTCTTATCAGTTGGCTGTTGAGTCAACTCAAAGTTCAACTCATCCAGGCCCTCCTTTTCAGCCAAGCACAACGAGCACGGATGGTGTGAGTTGCATGCCATCGTACAGGTGATCTTAGAAGACTCCGGGTGATCGGCCACCCATGAATAAAGGAGCGTGAATGCACTATACTGCACGCCGGCACTGTCTTCCACCTTCACACCGCCCCTGCACAGCCGCCAGGATGAGGGGTAAAGCAGGGGGGGGTATGGCAAGGATGGGAGACCATGTTAGATATGTCAGTGATGGTGTGAGCATGGGTTGCTGTAAGCAAGCAGATGAAGGACGGTTAGGAGGAGGGGGACAGCAAGCAGGGATGGTTTCAACGGCAGGAGACGGTGGTACGGGAGGAACCCGAATGGTATTAGGTGAAGCATGGTGGCTGGGAGCAGAGTACTTTCGACTGAATCCTACGTCGTGGCGCGCATGCGAAAGAAGAACAGAGGAGAAGGGGGGTCAAAAAGGGAGGGGAGTGTGTATTAGACAGGCAATGAAAATAAGTAGGGTAGTGTGGTGGATTCTGGAGAGTACAAGGGATGCGCGCCTTTGGGCGAGAGTAGCAGTGTCTCACCCTGAAAGATGTGAAGCCGCCTTCAAATCTCGAATCATGATCTCTGCAGCGTCCTGGAACACTCGAACCTTCTCTTCTGGCGAGAGGTCAGCTGGGATGTTAGGCAGGAGCCCGAGAAGCTCAGTGCCTCCTTCAAGCCACCTAGCCCATTCAGGAATGTTCCCAAAGGACAACAGAAATGGGTGGGCAGATTGGCGCCCGTTGTACGATAGATTGGTCTGGTCCGAGAACAAAATGAGAGCTATAACTATGCCAAACTTCCGCACCCTTTCCTGCCACAGTGATGATAAAGGGTAGGAAAGACGTATTGGATCCTAGGTTTCAATGCTCGTGTCCAACGCGACATGAGATGGCGTGGAACTTACCCAAGCCTCGAGCATCCAATCCGTGTTTGCAGGGGTACTGTAGCGGCGAACCCCATCCACCTTCCACTCTTGAGGCATGATGCTGAATCCCTTGACAGCCGACATCTTCTTGAACATGGACTGAAGGAGCTGATGGTGATGATTATGGCAAAAATGATGGAAAACAGAAGCGTAGGATTGATGGTTCCATTTGGACTGATGGTTTAGTCGGTCTCACAAAACACATTCTACTGTGACAAACGTGACCCCGCACGCATGGATACACTCACAGTTATCGCATTTCGGCGCTTGAAGGTGAGAAACCCAACCTCGTGATCAACTTCGATCTCCTCAACGATCCATTCATTCTCCGCTCCAAGATCAAAGCTGTTCTCATACTTCTCTAGGTCCCTGTAGCTGTTCCAATCGTCCAGCTGCTTTGGATCTAATTTCGGATGTCTAACTAACTGTATTGTGTCGTTTATCGCCCCGTTGGTAAGGCCGTGAGATCGTGCCAAAATGCATATTTCTGCCTTAACATCGAGAATTTCCTCTGTGGGAGCTTCTTCCACCACGAGTGTGGTGCTGCACGTACGAACCGCATCAGTAACTCGCTCTGCCGGCTGCGGGTGCTGCTCTACTGCGTTCGGAAGTGCCGCTAAGGGAATTGAATGCGCTGGCGCGGGAAGGGTGGCTGTTGCTAACGGAACAGAGGTATACTGCTTTTCAACGCCACGGTCTAGCTTATTACGTTTAGCTTCCTCTTCAGCCTTGCGTTTTTGGGCCCGCTTACAGCCGTCATGGTTAGCTTGATGGCTACTTACGTATTGATAGCAGTACACGCGCTTATTGCAAAACTCACAAGCCTGAGGCTCCATCGAGCAGATCTGTCCGTAAGACTGAAAGGGTGTTTGGCACACCAGTTTGATATGTGAATGGTAAGCCTGCACAAGAATGAGATAGCGCCTGTCGAATGGTCGGTATTTTACTAGGGAAGGGTTTGGCGCGAATACGAATTGGCGATCTGAGTCTGAACATCTGTTTCCATTGACCCTGATTGGCGATTGGTTATCGGGTGTCGGTAGCTGGTGTGCAATTGGAGGTGGGTTTGTGATGTTCTGCACGAATTTAGGTCACCCAGTTGTTGGTGCGCGACCACGTGCAGTTGGGCGAGTGGGCCATGCGACTCTCATGCTCCGCATCTTGTAACTGTTGTCGCGTACAAAAACAGCTATCTTGTCGCAGCAACCTGCCGAGGTTTTGTACCGAGCTGGGAACAGTTCCACTTGCGACATGGACCTGACATCGTCTTCGCATACACGCCAATTGTGTCAGAAATACACAAGCCGCTCGAATGTCATTGGAGCATACAATCCTGTCAGACTTCTCCATACTGTTCACCATGTTGACAGGATATCACGAGCATGCTATTCGCTGACGACGTATGGGAGCAGGGATGTGGCACAAAGTTGACCAACGAAAAGCAAGGGCGTGTGGGTCCTGCTTCAGCAACTACAGTACCTGCTTCGACTTTGCTTTGAGCTGCCTTGGCAACGGAATTTCGACCTAAGGCAAGATCCGGCCCAACCTGTGAGTTTACTATCTCAAGGTATGGAGGAGAAGGGCATACCCAAGTTATCGCGATGTCGTTTCCAGCACATGAGCATGCCATCCCCGTTTGGGGGATCCCTTGAAATTAAGCCCTCAGATTACCGCACGCTAGGAAACGAGCAGTGGATCAGTGGCACGGTTATCGAGTGGCTCTCATCGTGAGTGGCTCTGCGTTGAACACAAAACAAACTGATGTGTTATCCCTTGTTTCTAGTTTCTCACGACGTGCACCGACTTTGTATATTTTCTTCACGATCCTGCAGTATGTTACACTATGAGTACGGACTCGACAGTGCGTCGTGGCTTTGCACATCGCCTTATTTCTGGACCCTCGTAGCACGCCCGGGGTCGAAGAGGATCACTAGGCAGGCATATGGACTTGATATTTTGTCGTTTAAGCGCGTTCTTGTTCCGATTAACAAGGAGTAAGTGGTCGGGTCTTTTTATTAATGTGTTGAACGTAAACATGTGCTACAAACTAACGACTTTGGAGGTCTCGATTACATTGCAGTGCGCACTGGAGCCTGGCTGTCATCGAAATTACCCACGCTCCGGGATCCCTTATCCCGATCAAGTGTGTCCTGTGGCATGCGGACTCATATGCAACTCACGTCGACATTGATGGACCATTGAGAAAGTACGGTATCATGTGTTGCGTATGAAACGCCCTTGTTCGGAACCGATGTTAACAAGCCAGTAGTCTCATTGCGCAGGTGTTTGATGAGCCAGGTCATGCAGCGCTACGCATGGGTCACGGAGACAGAAGCAAAAGCGTGGGCAGCAGCGATTCAGTTAAAGGCCATAGCGGTATGTGATTTCACAGATTAGTGGACGAGTGGTGTGGGAGGGTGCGTGTACGGGAGGGTGCGTTGTGTGATGCGCATGGACAGGCATGGGACGCGCGGAATGAGTAGGGAAGGGGGAGTTGTGTGATGCGCATGGACAGGCATGGGACGCGCGGAATGAGTAGGGAAGGGAGAGTTGTGTGATGCGCATGGACAGGCATGGGACGCGCGGAATGAGTAGGGAAGGGAGTTGTGTGATGCGCATGGACAGGCATGGGGCGTGCGGAATGAGTAGGGAAGGGAGTTGTGTGATGCGCATGGACAGGCATGGGGCGTGCGGAATGAGTAGGGAAGGGAGTTGTGTGATGCGCATGGACAGGCATGGGGCGTGCGGAATGAGTAGGGAAGGGAATTGTGTGATGCGCATGGACAGGCATGGGGCGTGCGGAATGAGTAGGGAAGGGAGTGTTGTGTGATGCGCATGGACAGGCATGGGGCGTGCGGAATGAGTAGGGAAGGGAGTTGTGTGATGCGCATGGACAGGCATGGGGCGTGTGGAATGAGTAGGGAAGGGAGTTGTGTGATGCGCATGGACAGGCAGGGGGCGTGCGGAATGAGTAGGGAAGGGAGTTGTGTGATGCGCATGGACAGGCATGGGGCGTGCGGAATGAGTAGGGAAGGGAGTTGTGTGATGCGCATGGACAGGCATGGGCCGTGCGGAATGAGTAGGGAAGGGAGTTGTGTGATGCGCATGGACAGGCATGGGGCGTGCGGAATGAGTAGGGAAGGGAGTTGTGTGATGCGCATGGACAGGACCGGGGCGTGCGGAATGAGTAGGGAAGGGAGTTGTGTGATGCGTAGGGAAGGGCCTTCCAGCCCTCCTCTCCTCGCTTCCTCCTCCTCGTTGCCTTCCAGCCCTCCTCTCCTCGCTTCCTCCTCCTCGTTGCCTTCCAGCCCTCCTCTCCTCGCTTCCTCCTCCTCGTTGCCTTCCAGCCCTCCTCTCCTCGCTTCCTCCTCCTCGTTGCCTTCCAGCCCTCCTCTCCTCGCTTCCTCCTCCACGTTGCCTTCAAGCCCTCCTCTCCTCGCTTCCTCCTCCTCGTCGCCTTCCAGCCCTCCTTTCTCATGGGATGGGATGCGCAGATGTGTAGGGAAGGGGGAGTTGAGTGCTGCACATGGACAGGCATGGGATGCGTGCTTCACAGCTAAAAGCTGCTCATGATAACGCCTTTTATGGGCCACTTGATTCTTGTTCGTTCTGCAGGTGCGTCAGCAGGACAACGAGAATGACTGTGGCGTTTTTGTGATGCGTGTCATTCATACGCTTGTCGAGACCAAGTTTGGCAGTTTGAATGCGTGTGACTTGGTCGGGACGCCAAGACAGTGGAGGCGCCAATATCGTCACGATTTGGCTAGGTGGTCCTGTGTCTATGACAAAGCAAGCTCTTTGATTCAGGCTGATCGATACCCCTAAGTCTGCTTGCTAGTAGTTGGTGACATGCATTTGCACCTGACGTTCTGCTGCATCGTCACCCTCAACGTTTGATGCAAACTTGCCTGACAGTATGGTAACTGTTTTACACCAGACGGTGAGCTCTACGCAATCCATTACATAGTGTCAGGACCCGCTCCAACACAATCACATGCACCTAAGGTAAACACAATATCGTTCTACTGCCGCACCCTAGATAAGGTGGTATGCATCGGCCCATGAACGTAGTAATGAGGCCACTCTGCAGCTTTCATATTCACCAGGGCTGTTACATCTACTTGGCAAGCCAGTTGTTGGTGTGAAACTAACTGTGCTTGCTCTCAACAATTGCATAGTGTTTATCGACGTTCGCCAAGTCGATGTAAGTCACTCACGCCTAGTATTCACCCTATCTTGCCGATGATGTTTTTGTGGGAGATACCGTATATGTTGTTTTCGAGAGTGCTAGTTTATGCGTGAAGGATTGTTGTTTCTAAACACCCTTTGATTTGCCTAGATTTGAAATGAGGCTAGGTACAAGGATTCCAATATTACCCAAACTCGTCATATTCATATATCGCCAGACGTTATACATCCTCGCTACAAAGAGTGGTGCCACGTGATCGAAGTTTCAACGTAACCACGAGGGGCCTTCCCGAACCGCGATGTTCGAAATCCATCACGGCTCCAATGCGCCGACAATGCGCTGCCAATTTGCTGCTGTCACAATGCATTGTGTTTTTTTTTTCCTTGTTATTTTGTTGCGCGGCAAGGCCTGGTTCAGTTCCCGTACTCACGCGTGTAGTAATTTCTTCCTAGTTCGGGCTTAGGCGTTCTAACCCTATTAGGCTGCTGTAATCTATGATTTGAAAAAATGGCTCATTGCCAGCGCGTCCCTTGCAACTTCAAGGGCAGTTAAACTGTTGCGATCCACCACCACCACCCGTCGTGCTGCCATATGAGAATTCGTTACAGGAACAAAGCATTGATGCCGATGCTCAGGAGGGGAGTTGAGACGACGATACCCTCCACGTCCGAAGCACCCAGTTTGTCTAGCTGGTAGCAGTGTTGTTCTCCTCACGAACGCCTTCTACGGTAGGCACGTCAAGCAAATGCTATCTGTTAGTCAATGCCGATGTTCCCTCTGGCACTCGATGCAAAGTGAGAGCTGTTAGTGCTAGCCACGTAATAGCCGTCACGGAGCTGTTCTCGTAGTAGGCACGTCCTGCTTTGGCGCGGCGGTGCTGTTCTCGTAGTAGACTCGTACTGTTTGGCGCGGCGATGCTGTTCTCATAGTATGCACGTCCTGCTAGACGCGGCGGTGCTGTTCTCGTAGTCGTACCACTTGGCGCGGCGCTGCGGGTCTCGTAGTGGGCTCGTCCTGCTTTGGCGCCGCGGTTCTGTTCTCTGACGGCGCGTCCAGCAATGGCGCGTTTCGCGGCTGTTCTATCTCGCAGGACTTTGGTCAGCGCGTTTCGCGGGCACGTAGTGCGCTTGCGAGCTGCTGTTCTGGCAGGCACGTCCAGATCGCGCGCTGCTGTTCCTTGCGTCTCTAAGGCATATTTAAAGAATATATAAACCTTAGGGATGCACAGCTCTGTTCTGTAGCCGTTAATTGGGCTTGTTTAGCGGAATTGATAGAAGCATGGCGGACATAATCGTTACTGAACAGGCCACTGCTAGTGCGCTCCTCGGTAGCGCTGGAGCTCTACATCCCTCGGGCGACGCGAAACCCGACGCAGGACAGAACTTGCACGACAAGATGACGCCTCAAGCTACCTCCCAGCTAGTTGTGCGGTATCGTCGGAAGAACACACTTCCTGCACGCGATGCCCAGGTTGAATCGGAAGGGGCATCTTCATCGGATAGTGAGGAATCTGAAGAAGAGGCATACGATGGCAAGGTTAGACGCGGCGGTTCACGCGGGCGGAGGAATGGTCGAAAGCTGAAGCCGTTGGACCAGTGCAAACCTCCTACAGGGAGGAAAGGTACGCAATGAGCTTTTATCCAGCTTCTTCAACTTTGTATGTCTTAAAGTTGCTCGTTAATAACCTGGATGTAGTCGCACCCAATCCAGAGAGGTGCTGCCCTCCTATTAACTGAGCGTATCGTCCTTCATGCGTGTTGTAGGTACCCTCGCTGGAGCCAAGAAAAAGAAAAAAGAAAGACAGGACCCCGCTGGTGCAACAAGACTTGTTGAAGATGTAGATGACAAGGAGCAACTGCCAGAGAAAGGGCATGAGCGTGGGGATGAGCGTGATGGGGAGCGTGAGGGCAGGCGTGAGGGAGGGCTTGAGAGCAAGCGTGAAGGCAGGCGTGAGGGCAGGCAGGAGGGAGAGCGTGAGGCTGAGCGTGTGGGAGAGCGTGAGGGAGAGCGTGAGGGAGAGCGAGAGGGAGAGCGTGAGGGAGAGCGAGAGGGACAGCGTGAGGGAGAGCGTGATGTGAAGCGTGTGGGGGAGCGTGGGGTGAAGCGTGAGGGAGAGCGTGATATGAAGCATGATGCGTCTTCTCCCTCTACTCCAGCAGGTGTTCGTGCGGCCGATGCACACAATGTTCGAGGGCATTCGGAGGGTGGGAGGGAGAGCCGTGGCGTGGAGCTAGAAGATCAGAGGGGGGTGTCAGGGAGGGTGAAGGCACGGTCCAGAAAGGTTGGAAAGAAGGCCATTGCTGAGGTCGAATCTTCTGATGGAGAAGATAGTTCTGAGGAGGAATCAGGGAGCTCATCCGGGAGTGAGGAGAAGTATGATGAGGAAGAGGACGAGAGTGATGACGTTGAATCTGGGTCCGGGAGTGATGACGACGGTAGGAGAGGGAGGAGGGCACGAGGTGCGCGCAGCCACCGCTTTAGCGGAAAGCGTGGTCATGCAACCGGTGGTAAGGCTGGTAGTGGACGTAAACGGCAGAGACGTAGAGAGTGTGCTCAAGGAAAGCTAGCAGATACTGAGGGGTACACCCGGCGGCGTCGTAAGGAGCGTCCTGTTGTGAGACAGGATCTTGGCTTCTACAATGAGATGAGGACCATGGTGGACTCGGATGATGCTGGTCCGTCGAATCGTCGGGAGAACGTTCGGATGAAACGGGCAGCAACCAACGATCCGTATGCTGCCCTTGCTTCCACCTCAGGATTGGGAAAGAGAGCATCTAGATTTCAAGATCGGAGTGTGCGTGACAACGCTGGCCAGCAGCATGACAACACGCACAATCCATTCGGTGGTAGTGACGATCCGGCCTGTGGTGGGGGGCTGGGGGGGAATGATGGTGAGGCGGGTGGTGTTGGAGATTGGTACAATGATGAAAGGAAAGTTGGACGCTCTGACCCAGCAACTCCTCCCCCGTTTGCATCGGCAAGAGGCAATTCCCCGCTCGACGCTGGCGGAGTGCCCATCATTCCCTCATGCAGCACCCCTAATGATTCCATGCAGCAACTCTTCCAGGCTTTGCAGGAAGCAAATCGGCAGATTGCAGAGCTTAAGGCCGGTCGGGGACCTTCGGTGGACCGTGGGGGAAACGGGACGCAAGTCCCGCCGCTTACCTCGATCTCCAGTGAACAAACTGAGCCGCCCGAAATGCCGGGCGCTGTGGCGGAGAGTGATGTTCAAGGCACTCCCATCAACAGGAGGCATGGGATGCCAAACGCGACCAACCTGAAGGTAAGTGCCACCCCTATCCCCTACCGATTGCTGCACCCTACTTGCTGGCCTGCAGATTACCTCATCCATTTATTCCCAACCGTGCATAATCATTCTTTGTTTGTCTAGTCATTCCCACTCTCTGTTTTCATTCGATGGTTTCATTCTCTACCGTGACTTTTTCTCATTCACAATCTATGGTTTAGCCCACATTCCCATTTCTTGGTTTACACATTGCCCTTATTTTCTGGTTCAACCCTCCTCATCCTCTGGTATACCCCTCTTTATCATGTTCTGGTTCACCCATCTTTATCACCCAAATGGCTCCCAGCATTCTCATTCTCTTATTCCAATCCGTGCATTTGCTCAGTCTCATTCATAGTCCCTGGTTTTACCTGCTGTTTCACGAGCCGGTTTCAGTCTTTGCTATGCTCTTATCATAATCAATCTCCTGGTTTCCAATCCCAGTGGCTGGCCCATCCGTGGCAATGGTTCATCCATGGCTCATACAATTCCAGTTTCCTCTGGCTTTTCTTTTAAGATGGTTAAATTTGCAGTTCCACTGTCTTAGTGGTTTACCTTTACATTGTGTCTCACTTTAACTCCATAATTAACAGCTCTACATGGAAGATGCTCGGACGCGCATGTGTATGGAAGCTGAGGACCATCTTGTCACGTTCTACCCAAGCTTTGAGAAGCGGATTCTTGTTTTGCACGAAGTCATTTCCGAGCACTATGTGGTTCAATTGATATTGCTGAAAGAGGCCATGGCGGATAAAACACGGAGGGATGCATTCAAGCGCATGTATACGCAGTGGAAGAATGAACGTGGGTTCTACATCAAACGGACCGTGCTCGAGGGGTTGGGAGTTCCCATGAGTGGCTTGCGGGCAGCGGAAATCCACGTCGACACCGATCTCAAGGAGGAACTATGGGGGGAGTATGGCCCGAGTGAGTAAACACCTGCATGACCTTTTCCCCCACCCTCCCCCCCCCTCCCCCCACACCCCATATTCCGTACTCCATATCTTGGCGTTCATTTTCCATAGACCGTTGTAGAAACCTGTGATTCGCCAGCCCATCCACCCTTTCCACACCCCGCCCCTTTAACCACCTTCGTTCGAGTGTGTTGCAGGTGCGGACGCCCAACTGAGCACATGGGGAAATGCTGAGGTTACTGATCTCCCGTTCGGCAACGAGATCTTCTTCAACGCAGCAATGGACGCCTTCGGTGAATTTGCCGTGGGAAACGACATATGCTTGAAGGCGTATCATATTGCCTGGATTATCTTGGTGGTGAGTGGCTTGTGAGGGTCCTTTTACTTGTTTCTCATCCCACACTTTTCTCCTTGGTAAACCCGTGCCATCCCGTGTAAACCTTAAACCCCCGTGTTTCCATCTCCCTCTCAGGTGCTTCTTGAGACCTTGGTATCCACCTGCCCAGGGGAGGTGCGCCCACTCTGGGTTCACGCTTCCACTCACGGGCTTACGTTGTTAATATTTTTCACCAATTCCCCCACGTCCATGCAGTACCCATCAGTATCCTTCCCCTCCTGTGTTTCCAAACACTATGTGGTTTCCTCTTCCTTTCAGAAGTTGCCCCACTCCTCTATCACCTTTCATTCTCACACTCTATCACCATGGCGTACTTCACTGGATGTTGTGATTGACCCACATGATTCCGACCTCTCACACTTATCGTGCTTGAATCTGTCCATGCTCCCCTATTTTGACAATGCAGATTGACTACGGCTTGTCGAAGGTCAAGAAGTCGACGATGAACCTCACAAACTCCCACCGAAAGAACACGCGGTGGGTGGCAAGCATCCGCAGGGCGGTGAAGCGGGCGGTGACGGATCATTTCAGCCAGGTGAACCCTATCTACGACCCACGGATGAAGGGGTTTAAGTGGGGGGATTTCGGCTTGTTCGTCCATGAGTCGGGGTTCGACCAGTATAGGCCAAGACCGCAGCCCCGCTATCCGACAAGGAGGGTGGCGGCAGGGCACGTCTAGAGGAGAGGAATGGTGGAATTGCAAGGAAGGGAGGAGAGGAGTCACAGCAGGGAAGGGAGGATATGAGTCACAGCAGGGAAGGGAGGAGAGGAGTCACAGCAGGGAGGGGAGAAGAGGAACCACAGCAGGGAGAGGAGCAGGGGAACCACAGCAGGGAAGGGAGGAGAGAAACCACAACAGGGAGGGTAGCAGGGTAACCACAGCAGGTAAGGGAGGATAGGAACCACAGCAGGGAGGGGAGCAGGGGAACCACAGCAGGGAGGGGAGGAGAGGAACCACAGCAGGGAGAGGAGCAGGGGAACCACAGCAGGGAAGGGAGGAGAGGAACCATAGCAGGGAGGGGAGCATGGGAACCACAGCAGGGAAGGGAGGAGAGGAACCACAGCACGGAAGGGAGGAGAGGAGTCACAGCAGGGAGGGGAGGAGAGGAACCACAGCAGGGAAGGGAGGATAGGAGTCACAGCAGGGAGGGGAGCGGGGGAACCACAACAGGGAGGGGAGGAGAGGAACCACAGCAGGGAGGGGAGCAAGGGAACCACAGCAGGGAGAGGAGCAGGGGAACCACAGCAGGGAGAGGAGCAGGGGAACCACAGCAGGGAAGGGAGGAGAGGAACCATTGCAGGGAGGGGAGCATGGCAACCGCAGCAGGGAAGGGAGGAGAGAAACCACAACAGGGAAGGGAGGAGAGAAGTCACAGCAGGGAGGGGAGGAGAGGAACCACAGCAGGGAGAGGAGCAGGGGAACCACAGCAGGGAAGGGAGGAGAGGAACCATAGCAGGGAGGGGAGCATGGCAACCGCAGCAGGGAGGGGAGCAGAGGAACCACAGCAGGGAAGGGAGGAGAGAAACCACAACAGGGTAGGGAGCAGGTAAACCACAGCAGGGAAGGGAGGAGAGGAGTCACAGCAGGGAGGGGAGGAGAGGAACCACAGCAGGGAGAGGAGCAGGGGAAACACAGCAGGGAAGGGAGGAGAGGAACCATATCAGGGAGGGGAACATGGGAACCAAAGCAGGGAAGGGAGGAGAGAAACCACAACAGGGAGGGTAGCAGGGTAACCACAGCAGGGAAGGGAGGATAGGAGTCACAGCAGGGAGGGGAGCAGGGGAACCACAGCAGGGAGGGGAGGAGAGGAACCACAGCAGGGAGAGGAGCAGGGGAACCACAGCAGGGAAGGGGGGAGAGGAACCATAGCAGGGAGGGGAGCATGGGAACCACAGCAGGGAAGGGAGGAGAGGAACCACAACAGGGAGGCTAGCAGGGTAACCACAGCAGGGAAGGGAGGAGAGGAGTCACAGCAGGGAGGGGAGGAGAGGAACCACAGCAGGGAGAGGAGCAGGGGAACCACAGCAGGGAAGGGAGGAGAGGAACCATAGCAGGGAGGGGAGCATGGGAACCACAGCAGAGAAGGGAGGAGAGAAACCACAACAGGGATGGTAGCAGGGTAACCACAGCAGGGAAGGGAGGATAGGAGTCACAGCAGGGAGAGGAGCAGGGGAACCACAGCAGGGAGGGGAGGAGAGGAACCACAGCAGGGAGAGGAGTAGGGAAACCACAGCAGGGAAGGGGGGAGAGGAACCATAGCAGGGAGAGGAGCATGGGAACCACAGCAGCGAAGGGAGGAGTGAAACCACAGCAGGGAAGGGAGGAGATGAACCACAACAGGGAGGGTAGCAGGGTAACCACAGCAGTGAAGGGAGGAGAGGAGTCACAGCAGGGAGGGGAGCAGGGGAACCACAGCAGGGAGGGGAGGAGAGGAACCACAGCAGGGAGAGGAGCAGGGGAACCACAGCAGGGACGGGAGGAGAGGAACCATAGCAGGGAGGGGAGCATAGGAACCACAGCAGGGAAGGGAGGAGAGGAACCACAACAGGGAGGCTAGCAGGGTAACTACAGCAGGGAAGGGAGGAGAGGAGTCACAGCAGGGAGGGGAGGAGAGGAACCACAGCAGGGAGAGGAGCAAGGGAACCACAGCAGGGAAGGGGGGAGAGGAACCATAGCAGGGAGGGGAGCATGGGAACCACATCAGGGAAGGGAGGAGAGGAACCACAACAGGGAGGCTAGCAGGGTAACCACAGCAGGGAAGGGAGGAGAGGAGTCACAGCAGGGAGGGGAGGAGAGGAACCACAGCAGGGAGAGGAGCAGGGGAACCACAGCAGGGAAGGGAGGAGAGGAACCATAGCAGGGAGGGGAGCATGGGAACCACAGCAGGGAAGGGAGGAGAGAAACCACAACAGGGAGGGTAGCAGGGTACCCACAGCAGGGAAGGGAGGATAGGAGTCACAGCAGGGAGAGGAGCAGGGGAACCACAGCAGGGAGGGGAGGAGAGGAACCACAGCAGGGAGAGGAGTAGGGAAACCACAGCAGGGAAGGGAGGAGAAGAACCATAGCAGGGAGGGGAGCATGGGAACCACAGCAGCGAAGGGAGGAGTGAAACCACAGCAGGGAAGGGAGGAGAGGAACCACAACAGGGAGGGTAGCAGGGTAACCACAGCAGTGAAGGGAGGAGAGGAGTCACAGCAGGGGAACCACAGCAGGGAGGGGAGGAGAGGAACCACAGCAGGGAGAGGAGCAGGGGAACCACAGCAGGGACGGGAGGAGAGGAACCATAGCAGGGAGGGGAGCATAGGAACCACAGCAGGGAAGGGAGGAGAGGAACCACAGCAGGGAGGGGAGCAGAGGAACCACAGCAGGGAAGGGAGGAGAGAAACCAAAATAGGGAGGGGAGCAGGGGAACCACAGGCGGGTAGTAGTAGTGCAGGTGTCATTAACCTAGGATGATTAGTAGAGTAGAGCAGAACCACCAGAGATTAAGTAGGCCTCTAATGTGTTGTAACCCTTTTCAAGCTAATATTATGATTTACACGTACATGCCTTCCCTCTTACGGTGTATTTATGGAAAGTGCTAAAGAAACTACCAACAGGGTTTTTCAAACACCGATTATGTTTATGCATTATACCCCATAAACCCTTTCCAAGATTTTTATATGCATATAAAAGTAAATAGCAAACATTTTCCAAGTCCAAATTTGAAGCACATAATATAAGTTAAACAAGTTATCCCAAACACAATGAGAAGTTCCTCACAACCATTTCGAAACTGTTTAAAAACACTCCAATCATCTGCAAAGCATCTGACAGATCATCTGGAAAAAGTTCGATACTTTCTTCGAAAAAAGTACCGACCCCTACATCTTCAAATCATCTGCAAAAACACAACAAAAACACTTCATGAGAGGTTTTCCGCCACATGATTTTTGTGATGGCGGCGCCTGCAGGTGGGTGTTTACGGGATAAGGGTTGATTGTGGGGATGATACGGGTACGCAGTGGGGAGCCGAGGAGAAGGAAAAGAGTGGGTTAGGGAAACGGAGGGATAAATGGTCTTGGCACAGGACATGCACGAGTGGCCGCGCCTGCAGGTGAGCGAGAGGGGGCATCACAAAAATCATATGACCAGAAACCTATTGTAAAAAGTTGTGGTGAAGTATTTTCAAATGCTTTTAAAACGTAGGGGCCAAAACGCTTTTCGGTGAAAGTATAAACATTTTTTCGAATGCTTTGTCGAATGCTTTGCAGGTGATGACATGTTTGTATTACCTTCAGATTAGGGTCTGTCTGAGTTTCTTCGGAGATGTATAAGACTTCGTTCGGAGAGTTCAGGGAGATTACTTTCCACTCATATACTCTTTAGCAGAGCTTAGGACCAAAGTTCAAGAAGATTGTATATGAACCTTTATCAAGTGATTCTCGTTGTTTGATGGAAGGTCTATTAGCCATTCTTAGGTGTACACGCACATCATGAATGCATTGCTCAATGATTATTAATCTCATTACAGAGTTGGCTTGGCACACAAAACAGCTGCCTAAACACGCGTTGCGTAGTCCTGCTAGGGTGGATTAATCTGCACCATCCTCCTACCTACTTCGCAAGCCATCATCGGATGCAGCCCCGCCCCATCTCTCCAGCTCTTGGCCTAGAGAGTTCTTGACTACAGATACTGCTCCATCTAATGCTAACCTGCACGGCTACACACTTCCTGTCTCCTCTCTTGCTTATACTCCTGTCCCCTTGCTGTCTCCACGCTGCTGCCCCCTATGCGGTCTCCTCTCATGCCTGCTCCTGCTGCTCCACATTGGGCCTCTCCTGGAACTCCCCTCTTACCTCCCGGCCTCCCCCCCCTGATGCTACTCATGCTGCCTCCACTGCTCCTCCACTACTGCCTCACATGCTGCCTCCACTGCTCCTCCGCCACCCAGGCAACCTGCAAAACGGTCGCATATTAAATATGCACTCCTCCCCTACTGCCACGGGATGTTGCCTCCCCCCTGCTGCCATTCAATGTTGCCTCCCAAGCTGCCTCCCTTTGTTGTCTCCCCTGCTGCCATTCTAGTTGCCTCCCATGCTGCCTCTCTCTGTTGCCTACCCTGCTGCTGTTCAATGTTGCCTCCCCTACCGCCTCCCTTTGTTGCCTCCCCTGCCCCTTTGTTGCCTCCCCTGCTGCCATTCTATGTTGCCTCCCATGCTGCCTCTCTCTGTTGTCTCGCCTGCTGCCATTCTATGTTGCCTCCCCTACTCCCTCTCTCTGTTGCCTACCCTGCTGCTATTTAATGTTGCCTCCCCTGCTGCCTCCCTTTGTTGCCTCCCCTGCTGCCATTCTATGTTGCCTCCCATTCTGCCTCTCTGTTGCCTCCCCTGCTGTCATTCTATGTTGCCTTCCCTGCTCCCTCTCCCTGTTGCCTCCCGTGGTGCCTTTCTCTGTTGCCTCCCCTGCTGTCATTCTATGTTGCCTTCCCTGCTCCCTCTCCCTGTTGCCTCCCGTGGTGCCTTTCTATGTTGCCTCCCCTGCTGCCTTTCCTTGTTGACTCTCGGCTTCTTACCCTTGTTGCCTATCCTGATGCCTTTCCTTTATCCATACCCGTTAAACGCCCCTGCTCTCCCCGTTAACCGATACCCTCCTGCCTCACCCGATGCCTCTCCAACTTCCTCCACTGCCACCCGTCCTGCTTGCCCCCTTGTCTGCCTGCACATCACTTTCCCCTCCTGCCACCCATGTTTTTGCCTCTCTTGTGCCTTCTGCTCCCTCTCAACTCCTTCCCCCCCTGCTCATCATCCTCCTCTTCCTCTTCCTCCTCTTCATCCTCCTCCTCATCCTCCTCATCCTCATCCTCCTCCTCCTCTTCCTCCTCTTCCTCCTCTTGCTCCTCCTCCTTCTCACTGAAATCCTCTTGCTCCTCCTCCTCCTCCTCCTCCTCGTTATCAGCCTGAGCCGTCCCCCGGAACGCCTGAAACCCGGACTCATGTACATAGAGCCCACGCGTGCCCCACTTGAAGCCCTGCAACTCTGCGTTGTACACGGGGGTGTGGCGTGTAAAGTGATCCCTTACAATCCTCCGCACCCCCCGAGTCAAACTCCTCATCCATCTAGTGTTTTTCCTGTGGGAGTTCGGCAGGTTCATGTCGGTCTCCTTGAAGCGCGCCAAGCCTTGATCAATCTGAAACGGGTTTGGATTACAGGGACCAGCAGCAAGGCAGAGTTGCATGTTACCGGTGTTAGCCCCCAAGGGTCCCAAGTCGTTCACGTGCAATAGAAAAGATTGAGCATTAGGGCAAGTACATGTGATTTACAAAACCAGTCTCACCACCATGAGTGACCAGGCTATGTGGTACGTCTTTAGGGCCAGCCTGCGCCCAACAGCGTAATCCCGAAATGATGCCTTCACCGCATCCACAAACCGGGCGTTGGCAAAAGGGAGCCCGGATCTGTCGTTCCCCCACGAGCTGACCCGCTCATTCCCTCCTACAAGGAGGCACAACCATGTGGGGAAGCACGGGGTATGTTTTATCATCAAGTAGTGGGGCAGGCAGTGTTTGGAGGTATGTTTGGGCATCGTAAGAAGGGGCAGGCCGGGCAGAGGGGTTTGGGTGAGGATCCTGGGGTGGGGCAGGCAGGGCAGAGGGGTTCGGGTTTAGGATCCTGAGGTGGGGCAGGCAGGGCAGAGGGGTTTGGGTGAGGATCCTGAGGTGGGGCAGGCAGGGCAGAGGGGTTTGGGTTTAGGATCCTGAGGTGGGGCAGGCAGGGAAGAGGGGTTTGGGTGAGGATCCTGAGGTGGGGCAGGCAGGGCAGAGGGGTTTGGGTGAGGATCCTGAGGTGGGGCAGGCAGGGCAGAGGGGTTTGGGTGAGGATCCTGAGGTGGGGCAGGCAGGGCAGAGGGGTTTGGGTGAGGATCCTGAGGTGGGGCAGGCAGGGCAGAGGGGTTTGGGTTTAGGATCCTGAGGTGGGGCAGGCAGGGCAGAGGGGTTTGGGTGAGGATCCTGAGGTGGGGCAGGCAGGGCAGAGGGGTTTGGGCGAGGAACCTGAGGTGGGGCAGGCAGGGCAGAGGGGTTTGGGTGAGGATCCTGAGGTGGGGCAGGCAGGGCAGAGGGGTTTGGGTTTAGGGTCCTGAGGTGGGGCAGGCAGGGCAGAGGGGTTTGGGTGAGGATCCTGAGGTGGGGCAGGCAGGGCAGAGGGGTTTGGGTTTAGGGTCCTGAGGTGGGGCAGGCAGGGCAGAGGGGTTTGGGTGAGGATCCTGAGGTGGGGCAGGCAGGGCAGAGGGGTTTGGGTTTAGGGTCCTGAGGTGGGGCAGGCAGGGCAGAGGGGTTTGGGTGAGGATCCTGAGGTGGGGCAGGCAGGGCAGAGGGGTTTGGGTTTAGGATCCTGAGGTGGGGCAGGCAGGGCAGAGGGGTTTGGGTTTAGGGTCCTGAGGTGGGGCAGGCAGGGCAGAGGGGTTTGGGTGAGGATCCTGAGGTGGGGCAGGCAGGGCAGAGGGGTTTGGGTTTAGGATCCTGAGGTGGGGCAGGCAGGGCAGAGGGGTTTGAGTGAGGATCCTGAGGTGGGGCAGGCAGGGCAGAGGGGTTTGGGTGAGGATCCTGAGGTGGGGCAGGCAGGGCAGAAGAGTTTGGGTTTACGATCCTGAGGTGGGGCAGGCAGGGCAGAGGGGTTTGGGCAAGGAACCTGCGGTGGGGAATGCAGGGCAGACGGGTTTGTGACCATGACATGATGGGGCCAGGTTTAGGAAATAAAAGTGCTATCTGAAAAGACAAAGGGAATGAGCAACGCGACGAAACCAACGTAGTTGCAGCGGGATAGCTGATTGTCAAGACTCACTCGGTTTGTATTTTCGCCACAACCTCCACTTCCTCTTCGTGCTCAGCTTGATCTGCGATGCACGCAGTCCCTCCACCTTCACTCCAAACTTCTCGAGCACACCGCGCTTGACTTGAAATCCCCGTTCATTCTTCCATGCTGTCCACACACGTTTAAAGACGGCAACGACGTTCTGATCCTTCATTGTCTCTTTCAGCTGCATGTAAGAAATGATGTGGGTCACTGATGACGCCATACAGAACCTGTAGTCGCTGGTCAAATGATGGGTACCAGTCAACCGCATGGTCCGGCGCTTCCATGCACATCCGGTCCCGCGCCTCAACAAAATGAAGCTACAATGGACGGGATGGTAGGGCAAGAAGAAATCAGTGGCGAGGGGCAAGCATATCAAATGTGGGGCAGGCAGAGGGGGTTATAATTAACAACCATGACAATGTGGGGCTGGCAAGGGGGTTACGAATGAGCAAGAACAGACGTAGTGCAGGCAGAGGGGGTTTGGAACGACATGCTGGACAATGTGGGGCTAGCAAGGGGGGTTAACATGAGCATGAATAGCAAGATGCTAGCAGGGGGTTACGAATGAGCATGAAAGCAACGCAGAGTGCCCCTCACACTCACCCT